ATCTTGTATCCTGGTCTTCAGGTGTTTATACTGCCTCTGATTTCCTTTTTTTTCTACTTTTGAGAACCATTTTGTATTAGTTAGAGACTATCTAAATCCTTAAAGGTTCAGATAAAACATTTTTTAAAAACTATCTACTCCTGGTATTTATTTATTTATTTATTTATTTTTTATTTTTTTAAATATTTTTATTTTATTTCTGAGAGAGAGAGAGACAGCGTGAGCAGGGGAGGGTCAGAGAGAGAGGGAGACACAGACTCTGAAACAGGCTCCAGGCTCTGAGCTGGCAGTCAGCACAGAGCCCGACGCGGGGCTTGAACCCACGAACCGCGAGATCATGACCTAAGCGAAAGTCGGACGCTTAACCGACTAAGCCACCCAGGCGCCCCTCCTGGTATTTATTTTTATTTTCACTATGAGAAAATTGCAGACATAACAAAAATAGGAAAAAAAAGGATGATCCTTCTGTGCCTATAACTCAGCTTCATTAATTATCCATAGGATATGGGAAAGGATGTTTGTAATGCCTTTCCCATAAACATTTCAGTTAATGGTTATTGATTTATTAAGGTTTTAAAATTATTTTAAAGTCAATTTTGATCATTCTATTATTATTCTAGTAAAATATCCATTTGTCAGCTTTGTGGCTAACAGCTTATTTTTTAAAGTTTATTTATTTTATTTTGAGAAAGAGAGAGAGCACACATATGAGCGGGGGAGGGGGAGAGAGAGGGAGAGAAAATCCCAAACAGGCTCCTTGTTGTCACCACAGAGCCCCATGTGACACTTTAGCTCATGAACTATGAGTTCATAACCTGAGCCAGAATCAAGAGTCTGTCACTTAACCAACTGAGCTGCCTAGGCATCACCATGGCTAAGAGCTTTAATTCCAGGAAAAGATTATCTAGGTTTGAATATCTCTGTTCCTCCATTTGGGCAGTCAGTTAAGCTCTCTGTGGCTCAGTTTCCTCATCTGTAAAATGGGAATAATAATGTTACTTATCTCTGGGGTGCCTGGATGGCTCAGTCACTTAAGCATCTTAATTTCAAGTGACTCTTGATTTCAGCTTAGATCATGATCTCATGGTTTGAGTTGTAGCCCCATGTTAGGCTCTGCACTTTCAGTGCAGAGCCTGCTTGGGATTCTCTCTCTCTCTCTCTCTCTCTCAAAATAAATAAACCTAAAAAGATAATGTTACTTAAGGTTGTTGAGAAGAGTCAATGAAGTCATACATGCAGTCATAAATACAGAACATTTAAAATAGTTCCTGGCACACTGAAATGTTAATTATTATTATTATCATAAAAGTTAAAATGTATTGCCGTGAAGTTTTTCATGGCATTCACTTTTAATTTTTAAATTCTTCACTGTATTTTTAGTTGACTCTCTTTAATTCCTAATGTTGTTTACTTATGAATTTGTCTTCTTGATTAGTTTTGCAATTTTGTCTATTTTAAGTCTTTTCAAATAATTGCCTTTGGATTTATTAACCATCTCTATTCTTCTTTTCTATTTCATTGTTTTCTGGTTTTATATTTTATATTTACATTTTTCTATTGTCTTTGGGTTTTCTCTTTATTTTCCCCTAGGTTCTTTAGTTGAATGCTTATCACATTTATTTTCCTTCTTTTTTCGTCCTTCCCTCCATCCTTCCATCCTCTTTCCCTTCTCTCCTTCCTTCCTTGTTTCCTCTAAGTATGTTGCATCACATAAATTTCAATGTTAAGTAGTTGTAATTGTGAATTCTAAATATCTAATAATTTCCTCTGTGGTCTCCTATTAATCCCATGACTGTAAATTACTTTTAGTTTCCAAGCTTAGATGTATGTATGTGTATAAATATATACATTCTTACTGTAGAAGTATGATACAGATTCTTTGAAATTTACTAAGGCTTTGGCTTTCCTGTGGCCTAGTATATGTGCTCTCTTTAAATGTTCCATTTGTACTTGAAAAAGAGGTGTGTTCTCTCTTTGTTAGAGATAGATATTTGAGCTTCTTCAATTTGTTTATGAATGGATTTGACCACTTCTCTTTGATATCCTACCTTTTAGTGTTGTATACATTTTGAGGCTGTGTTCATCTTTTACTTTATAGTTATGAAAGTGGAAGAAGAGAAGGCTGGGGTAGGGAAGCTGGACCCTGCACACTACAGGAGGAGATGTCAGGATCAGGAAGGTAAGATCACCTTGAGAACTTGATGCAAACCCTAGGAGGTCTGACAATTTCTTTAATATCCTTATAGCAGCCCTCCAGCAGGGGAATCTAGAGAGCCAGTTCCTTTCCCTAATTTACCCATGGTGTCTTCTCTGGATCTAATGGGACCAGCCTTCACTATGTCTTAAAGGGACCATATGGTCAGACTGAAGACTGGACACTGGCACTTTGTTTCTATGGATTAGGGCACAGCATCCCCAACACAAAATTAAATTTACCTAATTTTACAAGGTGTAAAGACCATACAAGATGCCAGTATTTCATAGATTCTAAAAATGGCAACTCAGTTAAAACCAGTGCAAGAGGATGGTGAGTGGGGATATCTGTTGTTCCAATGCTGACTCAGAGACCCTTAGTTCCTACATTCTACAGAAAAGCAACCACAGGACTTATGAAGAAGCAACCAGACTGGCTACTGCCCCACCACTGTCCCAGCCCTACTTGGAGGGAAACAGTAATCTCGCTGCCCAGCTGGATGCTTTGTTGAACTGCAGAATGTGTAGAGCCATTCTGGGGCTGTCGATAGAGAGGAATGCAGCTGAAGAGTTCCTAGGAGAACTTGGCATTGTCCTGAACCAAACTGCAAGGTGTTCACAGTCAGTGGAGAGGTCCTCCATTGTGAAGGAGGAAGCTCGGGGGAGGACTAACTATTCTCCACAGTTCACCAGCTACACAGCCTACTGTGACGATTATGAGGGGAGCCAGGAAGAAATGGGACAAGTTAGATCCAGGACATAAAGTAAAATATTATCCTGACAGCCATCTCTCCTGACTTCTTTAATAAGCATATTCTTCAGGTGTGTAGCTGTAACCATTTTCATAATTATGTTCCCATATGCCATCCCATTCTATCTTCTCAAAAACCTTGCCCAAACAGTAGAGAAAGGATTTTATTCCCAAATTACAGGTGAGGACACTGAGTCCTAGAGAGGCAGATGACTGTGGCCATAGAGCAAGTGTAGAGCTAGCCAGGGAGCACCAAGGGAAGCAGACTCTTGAGCAGAGGCCTTTTGGATAAATCAACTGTTCCTCGTCTCAAGGGTAGAGAGTAGGAACTCATCTGCTAAGCCCTTAGAGTAAAACTACTAAATTTTGGTGTCCATGGCTTATTCGAATTACAGATTGGTTAAGAAATATAGAATAGAGCAAGAGATATCACACCATACTGGAGGGAGAGGAGAGAAGGAAAGAGGAGCACCAGTCATTCTTATACTGATCCACTAGAAAGCAAGGCTATGCTTCATAAAAATCTCCACCTTACGTTCTACCCAAGAAAGACTGGAGGTTCAGAAGAATGAGCAGTGAGGTGAGCTGGGTGGGGCAGGAGTTGGGCTCTAAATAGATTTAGACACTGACATCCAGGTAACCTCATTTTCCCATGCCTAGGAATGACTCGTAGAGTCTTTTCACCAGAGTAGACCCCCTACATATCTCTAAAAGGCTAGATTGCTTCTCCAAGGTTCAGCTTGATGGGGTTTCTATGTGATATCTGTAGCCATTGAATGCCCAGACCTTAGTATCTACATTTCAGGAGTTTGAGCCAAGAGACAGTCCTCCCCTCCAAGGAAAATAAAATCAAGTTAATACAAATTTTGATGTAAGAACACAGATTCTAATTTCCCATTCTGTAGTAGCTTTCAATACTCAGTTGCCATTCTTGGGCTTCAAAAATACAGTAGTCCCCCTTATCTATGATTTCACTTCCTTCAGTTTCAGTTACCAGTAGTCAATCATGGTCTGGAAGGAGATGATTCTCTTTCTAAAAATTTTTTTTTTTAATGTTTTATTTATTTCTAGGAGAGAGAGAGAGAGAGAGAGAGAGAGACAGCGTGAGCAGGGGAGGGTCAGAGAGAGAGAGAGTCACAGACTCTGAAACAGGCTCCAGGCTCTGAGCTGACAGTCAGCACAGAGCCCGATGCGGGGCTGGAACCCACGAACCGCGAGATCATGACCTAAGCGAAAGTCGGACGCCTAACTGACTAAGCCACCCAGGCGCCCCTATTCTCTTTCTGACATTGGTCAATAATAGCCCAACGCTACATCACAATGCCTTTATCATTCATCTTACTTCATCTCATCATATAGGCATTTTATCACCTCACATCATCACAAGAAGAAAGGTGAATACAGTACAACAAAATATCTTGAGAGCATGGGGGAGGGGGAGAGAGAGAGACTGTATTCACATAACTTTAATTGTAAAATATTGTTACAATTATTCTATTTTATAATTTATTATTATTAATTTCTTACTGTGTCTAATTTATAAATTAAACTTTATCATAGGTACGTATGTGTAGGAAAAAACATGGTGTATATACAGGGTTCAATGCTGTCTGCAGTTTCAGGCATCCACTGAGGATCTTAGAACATATCCCTTGTGGATAAGGGGGAACCACTGTAATTATAATGAAATTTTTTTGGCCAACCTGCTCTTTGGAAAATTGTCACCAGGGAATTCCACACTTAAACTTGTCCTAAATCAGTGGCTCTCAAACATTTTTGCTGCAGTTCACATAAGCAGAGAAAAAGATTTTCCCACTCATTTACCCTACCCATTCTCATTTCTCTTCAGAAGGAAGAAAAAAAGAAAAGAGAACAAAGTGTAAAGGCCCAAAAGAGGAAAGTAGCTTTAGAATTCAGGGAGGGGAGAGATGAATAGGTGAGGTGCAGGGAATTTTTAAGATGGTGAAACTATTCGGTATGATACTGTAATGGTAGACTCCCATCATTATGCATTTGTCAAAACTCATAAAACTATGTAACACTAGGAGTGAACCTTAATATAAACTATAGACTGTAATCATAATGTATCAATATTGGTTTATTAATTTTAACAAATGTACCACACTAACGCAAGCTGTTCATAAGAGGGGAATCTATTCATAGCAATAAATGCCTACATTAAGAAAAAAGAAAGAGCCCAAGTAAACAACTGAACTTTACACCTTCAGGAACTAGCAAAAGAAAAACAAACTAAGCCCAAAGTTAGTAGAGGAGAAAATAACAAATATCAAAGCAGAAAAAGGTAAAATAGAGAGACTAAAAAGACAATAGAAAAGATCAGTGAAACTAAGAACTGTTTGTTTGTTTTTGTTTTTTTTTGCTAAATGTTTTGTTTATTTCTGAGAGAGAGAGTGAGACAGAGACAGAGTGAGCAGGGGAGGGTCAGAGAGAGAGGGAGATACAGATTCTGAAACAGGCATCCCAGAAATGGTTTTTTGAAAAGATAAACAAAGGGTTCCTGGGTGGCTCAGACGGTTAAGCGTCTGACTTAGGTCACGGCTCAGGTCATGATCTCACCGTTTGTGGGTTCAAGCCCCACGTCGGGCTCTGTGCTGACAGCCAGCTCAGAGCCTGGAGCCTGTTTCAGATTCTGTGTCTGAATCTGAAACACAGGGGAGGCCCTGCTCATGCTGTCTCTCTCTCTCTAAGCAATAAATAAAACATTAAAAAAAATGAAAAGATAAACAAAATAAGCAAATCTTTAGCTAGACTTACTAAGGGGGAGAAAAAAGAGATGACTCAAGTAAATAAAATTATAAATGAAAGAAAACACATTACAACTGAAAACACATACAAAAACTCAGATGAGACTTCTATGAATAATTATATGTCAACAATTTGGACAACTTGGAAGAAATGGATAAATTCCTAAAGATACAACTTACCAAAACTGAATAATGAAGAAACAGAAAACCTAAATAGACCAATTACTAGTAAGGAGATTGAATCAGTAATCAAAAACCTCCCAACAAACAGAAGTTCAGAAACAGATGGCTTCACTGGTGAATTCTGGCAAACATTTATTTATTTATTTATTTATTTATTTAAAATAGTTTATTGTCAGGTTGGTTTCCATGTAACACCCAGTGCTTATCCCCACAAGTGCCCTCCTCCATGCCCATCACCCCCCTCCCCCCCCACACCCATCTGCCCTCAGTTTGTTCTCAGCATTCAAGAGTCTCTCATGGTTTGCCTCCCTCCCTCTCCCCCACTATTTTTCCCTTTCTTCTCCCCCCTCGTCCTTCAAGTTCCTCCTAATCTCCCTATACGTGCAAACATATGGTATTTGTCCTTTTCTGCCTGACTTATTTTGCTCAGCATAACACCCTCTAGTTCCATCCATGTTGCTACACATGGCCAGATTTCATTCTTTCTCATTGTCTGGCAAACATTTAGATAAGAATTAATACTAATCCTTCTCAAACTTTTCCAAAAAAATAGAAGAGAAGGGAAAACTTTTTTTTTTTTATGTTTGTTTTTGAGACAGAGACAGAGCATGAGCTGGGAAGGGGAATAGAGAGAGGGAGACACAGAGCCTGACGCAGGGTTTGATGAACCACAAGATCATGACCTCAGCCAAAGTTGGACGCTTAACTGACTGAGCCACTCCGAGAAGGGAGCACTTTCAAATTCATTTTATGATGCTAGCATTACCCTAATACCAATGCACTACAAGAAAAGAAAATTACATGCCAATATTTCTGATGATCATAGGTGCAAAAATCCTCAACAAAATATTGGGAAACCAAGTTCAAAAATACATTAAAGGATCATATATCATGATCAAGTAGGATTTATTTCAGGAGTACAAGAATGGTTCAACATCTGCAAATCAATCACTGTGATATACCCCACTAACAAAATGAATAAAAATCATAAGATTATCTCAATAGATGTAGAAAACATATTTGACAAAATCCAACATCCATTCATTATAAAAAATCTCAACAAACTGAGTATGGAGAGAATGTACCCCAACATAACAAAGTCCATGTATGACAAGCCTACAGCTATCGTACTCAACAATGAAAAGCTGAAAGCTTTTCCTCTAAGATCAGGAGCAAGGTCAGGATGCCCACTCTTGCACTTTTATTCAATATTGTACTGGAAGTCAATATCCAGAGCAATTCGTCAAGAAAAAGAAATAAAAAGCATTCAAATTAGAAAGAAAGAAGTAAAGCTATCTCTGTTTGCAGATGACATGATATTATATATGGAAAACCCAAAAGATTCCACCAAAAAGCTGTTAAAACTAAAAAATTCAGTAAAGTTGTAGGATATAAAACCAATATACAAAAATAAATACATATATATTTCTATATATGAATAATGAACTATCAGAGAAATTAAGAAAGCAATTCTATTTACACTTGCAACAAAAAGAATAAAATACATAGGAATAAATAAACTTAACAAGGAAGGTGAAAGACTTGTATACTGAAAACTATAAGACATTGATCAAAGAAATTGAAGAAGACACAAATAAATGGAAAGATACTCTATGCTCATGGATTGTACAAATTAATATTGTTAAAGTGTCTGTGTTACCCATATCAATCTACAGATTTGATGCAGTCACTATCAAAATTCCAATGGCATTTTACACAGAAATAGAATAAATGGTTCTAAAATTTGTATGGAACCATGAAAGACCCTGAATAGCCAAAAGTGACCTTGCAAAAGAACAAAGCTGGAGGCATCATGCTTCCTGATTCAAAAGATATTACAGGGGCGCCTGGGTGGCTTAGTCGGTTAAGCGTACGACTTGCGCTTGGGTCATGATCTCGTGGTTCGTGGGTTCATGCCCCGCGTCGGGCTCTGTGCTGACTGCCAGCTCAGAGCCTGGAGCCTGTTTCAGAGTCTGTGATTCCCTCTCTCTCTGACCCTCCCCTGCTCATGCTGTCTCTCTCTCTCTCCTAGAAATAAATAAAAATATTTAAAAAAAAACAAAACAAAAACAAAAGATATTACAAAGCTATAGTAATCAAGACAGTATAGTATTGGCATAAAAGCAGACACATAGATCAATGGAAAAGAATAGAGAACTCAGATATACATACACACTCATAAGTTCAATTAATTTATGACAAGCCCAGAATATACAATGGAGAAAGGATAGTCTCTCTGATGAGAAAACTGGACAGCCATATGCATAAGAATAAAACTGGATCACTATCTTACACCACACACATACACACACACACACACACACACACACACACTTCAAACTGGATAAAAGACTCATATAAGACCTGAAACCATAGAAATCCTAGAAGAACACACAGGGGGTTAGCTCTTTGTCATCAGTCTTTGCAATCCCAAAGAAAGACAAATACTATATGATCTCATTCCTATGTGAGAACCAAACTCATGGCAACAGAGAACAGATTAGTGGTTGCCAGAGGCAGGAGTTTGGAGGTGGACAAAATGGGTGAAAGTGGTCAAAGGTACAAACTTCCACTATAGGATAAACAGGTTCTGGAGATAGAATGTACAGTAGGGTAACTATAGTTAACAATCTGTATTGTATATTTGAAAGTCGCCAAAAGAGTAGATTCTAAAAGTTCTCATCATAAGAAGAGTGAAACTATGTGAGATGATGGTTGTTAACTAGACTTATTGTGGTAGTCATTTTGTAATATATACATGTATCAAGTCAGTATGTTTTATACCTTACACTAGTACAATGTTATATTGTCAATTATACCTCAAAAAAAATAATATGGGAAACTGTTGTGGAGTGCGTATAGGGTGGAGGAAGGATGGAAGTCTAAGTACCTATGTACTATCTGCTCAATTATTCTATAACTATAAAACTACATCTATTGATTATTTTAAAAACTGTTGACCAGTTCAAGACAACACTGATGGAAAACTGATAGCAGAGTATCCATCCTAAGAGTTGAGAGAATTCTAGTTGCTTTTGTTTGCACAGACCTAGTGGGGGCTTAACACAACAAACAGTCTTCTTAGTGGAATTCCAAATTAAAATTTTTGGTAATTCTAGTTCTTGAAAATTCTAGTATACAAAACCAGCTTTGAGAAATCCTTAATAACTCACTTTTCTGATAAGTAGTTTACGTAGTCTTTGGTTATTAGTAATAAATGGCCCTCAATGGAAATATATACAGCTTTCCCAAAGAGGGGGTCAGCATTTTGGACTAAATCTATGGCTCACTGAAGGTCTGTCTTCTGGGCCATGTGTCATAAGCCATATGTGGTTATTGCCATTCTGGACAAGCAAGAACAGCGTGATAGGAGTTCTGTTCATTCTAACAGAGTTCTAACTATAGCACCAAGGGTCTTGTTTCCAGTAACTGCTGAGTTGTTCACGAATGAAATTCTGTCAAACCCAAGACTCAGGGCAGTGGCCCTGTCCAGGAACCCCATGTCCTCCATTTTGCCTTGGTGGCCCTAGCTCTTTGTAACTGGAGGATGTTAAGGGGAAATGTCCATTTTCAGTAACCCTTGCCTCCCTTGTCTTTTGTGCTATGTCCACAGACTGCCGTTCCATCCACATTGGGCTTTCGGTCCCCAGTTACCTTCAGAGGAAAAGAGATCAGCAAGGACATCTTTCAGGCCTGCAGAAGGTCTGCTGGGGCCTGCAGCCAGACAAGCCACAGCAGGAACTGACCGGCATGGGGAGCAGGGGAAGCAGCTGGGATGGCAATGTGGATCGTGTCAGCAGGACCCGTGAGTTCTTGAGGGGTGTGTTGGGGGGAGCCATCCATCTGCTGATGAGCCCAGCCCTGGGGGAGGTGGGTGGGTGGCAGAGGAGGGCAGGCCAGGGAGATTCTCTGGAGAATGCCTCAATGGTGCCTCACTGGGGTCAGGGCTGTCGGCACCCGCTGCCGTGCTGCCACTGCAGACCAAACTCCCTGCTCAGAGACGGCTTTAGTCAGGCTGAGCTCCATCTCTCTCTGGTGACTCTGAGACTTCTGCTCTGATCCATCCCAAATTGGTTTTATGGATTAATTATCAGAATTATTTCCTCATTTCCGGGGCGCCTGGGTGGCTCAGTCGGTTAAGCGTCCGACTTCCGCTCAGGTCATGATCTCGCGGTTTGTGGGTCCGAGCCCCGCGTCGGGCTCTGTGCTGACTGCCAGCTCAGAGCCTGGAGCCAATTTCAGAGTCTGTGTCTCCCTCTCTCTCTGACCCTCCCCTGCTCATGCTGTCTCTCTCTCTCCTAGAAATAAATAAAAAATATTTAAAAAAAATTTTTTTTAAATAAATTAAAAAAAAAGAATTATTTCCTCATTTCCAAATTCCTGGAGGTCACACAACCATGACATGACTAACCTAACTACAAACATGACTGTTTGGCATGAGCCATTGTGCTCAGTAAACTGAATTACCTCCACCCTTTCCTCACCTGAGCTTGATGGAATAGTCCAGAATTGTCTAGGCACCTGCATGGTAGCTTGAAGACCCCTGGGAAGCAGTCTCCCAGGCTCATAAATCCCCTGAGGCCTTCCTTTGCTGCTGAGGCAGTCAGTTCTGGACTGATTAAAAATCAGTCTTTTGTTCCTTCTCAGAGAAAGAAAAATATCGGTCTTAAAAGAGGAGTGAAAAGTCTGGAATCCTTGGAGCGCAGCTGTGATATTTTATTCTTTCGAGACTTTACTGTTTCTAGGAACATGATTTCACCCCAGCATATCCAAAATCTGCCAAGATATGGTATCTCACTATTCTCTATCATATATTTCCACTGTCTTGAGCAAGGAGCAAAAGGAGTTAGTTTACCATCTAAACCTTCAAAGGAATGTCAGAGCCAGTAACAGGGTTTCAGCATCCCTATAGGAAGAGATCTGACATCTGACATTCATGCTCCCAAAGGCCAACTGAGCCACCCCAAACTTGTCGCTGCCCTGAACAGCTGTTCTCGTTGCACCAAGTCTACTAAGGCCTGTGGCTTTTCCAGATTAAATGTGTCTATGTGGGAGATAGGTTAGTGGAAGTCCTTTGGAGCTGTCTAGCATAAGAGATGAGCTTTGATTAAAACATGCATATGCACACATAGACGCAAACACATATGCATATGCATGTGCACCTGTACCTGCGCAGAGGTAGGAATATCAGAGACCCAGAGGAGAGCAAGCCTGTTGGGAAAGACCTCCCAGTCCCCATGTTGGATCTGGATGCCTCACATTCACTTTTTGGGGCATTCTCCTGTAACCCCACCACCTCCCCCACATAGGGATAAGGTCCCCCTTTGAAAATCAACTTTTCTGGGCCTCTCCTGAGTCATGGAAGAAATATATAACATGGCAGGTTATTGTGGTGGGTAGATGAGTATGGTAGGCATTTAATATATATTAGTTTAATTAGTACACATTAACCCAATTTAAGAGCAAGGAGCCCAAGTCTTTTTCCTCTACAAGCGGATATTGGTTTGGTTTGGCTGTCCTCACTGGTACCAAGGGCTTCTGAGATCCTAATGGTGGAAGGGGTGTGAAAAGTTATTAAACTCTTCTACTTGCCTGATATTAAACAATTTTGGGACCACTAAAAGATCAAAACCACCCCAAGATGAGCAGGAAAGGAGAGAAAGGCTGTTTTCCAGCCAGGCGTTTGAGGCTTATAATATTGTTTAAAGTCCTTAGGACCAAGGATATACATCCTGTGGTCTTCCATTCTCATTTCTAATGAGGAAGGAGCATGGGTTGGGACAGAGCACATATTTGTCTCTAAAGCATCTTCTCCATGAACAGTTCCTGAGACAGCTATTTCCAACATAGGTACAAAGACAGTTGGGGTCCTTTTAGAGTCTGAAGCTTTAAAATGGGGTAGCTTCCTTGCTAAGACACAAATTTGTGTCTTGGAAGGATACATCTTGGAGAGAGGTAGGGGAAAGGAAGAAGGAAAAAGAGAAAAGAGGATCATTCTAGACCTTTTATGTCCCGTTCAGGGTGAGGAGCAGGTAGGAAAGCAAATTCAAATCTATTCCCCAGAGGAAGTCTGGGGCACCTGGCCAGCTCAGTCAGTAGAGGAATTCTTTATCTTAGGGTTGTGAGTTCAAGCCTCATAATGGGTGGCATAGAGATTACTTAAGAAAAAAAAAACCCTCCCCAAAGAAGCCTATATTTTCTCTCTCTTCTTATCTGTTGACACCTTAAAACCTGGATCTCCTGGAATTATCAACATATACAGCATTCCCTCCCTAGCCATGAGAGCTAACAAACAAAAAAATCCTGTTAGAAGAGAATCCTGAGTTATTGACACTAATACCTTGAGGAGAAAATTAGGGTTGAGCATCCATGTTTGCAAGTGAACCAGTGAAAGTCTTAATACATGGAAAGTTTTCATAAACTATACAGTAGCCAGATTTACCCTATTCCTTGAGAATTAGCTGAAGTGGACTCTAGTCTCCCTGGCCTCATCCAAGGGAAGGTCTAAATTTCTGTGCCTTCTCAGGGGCTGTCAGTCTCACTGTCTGGCTCTGAGTCCCTCCGTAGGGGGCTTGTCATCTCACTATGTTTCACCTTCTATACTTATTCTCTGCCTTCACCTCCAGGCCAGTTCAGGCATGGAGTTCAGATTGTCTTTGGTTTCCCCTAAGATGGCTATGTTTGGCATATATATGACTAGAAGGCTTTGCTGAAGGTTCAGAACCAAGTTTAAGGTTGCAGAGATACGTACTTTTTAAAATGAGATACTAGATATCCGTGTTCCTCTGGCCACTGGAAATTTCCCCCTGCTCATTTTTCCGTGAAGTTCCAGCCTCATATCACAAAGACTGGGGGGACTTCTGCCCACTCCTGTCCCTTCCTGAATCCCCTCATATGTTCTTGTTTTCAGTGCTGAGCCCCCTCCTCACACATACGCGCAGTCCTCTCCTTTCCCTCCTTAGGTCGGGGCCCATTTTTGCACAGCTGAGGCCACATAATGGGTTAAATGAACCACAAAGACCTATCTCCTCTAAGTCTAGAGGAGCCCTGAAAACCTGAAAGAGGCCTCAACATTTCCTTCTGTCCCTACTCCTTCCCCAGGGTCCTCTGCATGCCATGTCAAGATTCCGTGTGTGAATCAGACCCCCACACCCTTGTTGGCTTAGACGGGAGAAGCAGCAACTATCTAATTTGATAAATAACAATTTCTTCACTTTACTGCATTTATAGTCACCAAAACAAAACAATAAAAGTCATATGCTAATTGAAGACTACAGGTGACATTTCATACACCTGAAATTATAAATCATGGATATGGTACAATCAATGGCTCCCCTTAAACGTCAGAATCTCCTCCTCTGAGGCTCCAGTGAGATGAGTGTCATTGCTTTCTTTTTTCCGAGGTGTCCCCTGCAAATGTTCAGGGTCTCTTTGATATCATATTGAGGTTGATGCCCTTCCTGAGGAAGGCTGGGGGATCTCTTATTTGGATTTAGTTGAATCTCCCCCTTGCCCAACACACCAAGATCTTCCAAGCCTTGCTTCCAGCCCCTAGCATGTAGGAGAGCCAGCAGTGCCCTGGCCAGGCTTTGCCAGTCCTCTGACACAGGTCCTCATGTGGCCAGGACCAGGGCCAAGGCCAAGGTTTCTTTTCCTTGGGTTTCCTTCTTTTTGTGCTTTTGGCCTGCTCTGCCATTGCTTTACTCCCCTCTTTTACTGATTCCCCATTCTTTCTTATTCTAACTATTCTTACTACAGTGACTCAAACATTCTTTGATGTTTGTTTATTTTTGAGAGAGAGAGACATAGAGTGAGCAGGGGAGTGGCAGAGAGCAAGGGAAACAACAGAATCCAAAGCAGGCTCCAGGCTCTGAGCTGTCAGCACAGGGCCCGATGCGAGGCTGGAACTCACAAACCATGAGATCATGACCTGAGCCAAAGTCAGACACTTAACCAACTAAACCATCCAGGTGCCCCAACAACATTCTTTATAACTCTTACACTTGCAGTTTTTAAAAAGGTATGAAGAAGAAACTCTCCATATCACAAAACTTTCTCTAAGGGACACTCATGGTTAAGAAGGTAATTTGATCATAAGTTTCAGAAACCTACTTGAGCTAGCTTGGGCAGTGTGTGTGTGTGTGTGTGTGTGTGTGCGTGCACGCACGCACACAGGTGTTATTACAAGACCAGTGCTTTTCATGGTCCCAAAGCAGAATAAACAGCTGGGTTCAGTGAGTAGACACAGACCCTGCCCCTGCCTCTCCTGTGGGTCTGCTCCATTCTCCTCTCTCTGTAGCCTTTTCCTGCTTCTGTATGCCCTTGTCTTCCAGTTTACATGATTTCTCTTCCAGAGACCGTCAGGAAAGACCCCAGCTATCTTAGAGACCCAATTCAAAATTTCCAGGCTCAGATGTCCAATGAACTGTTTGTGGTCTGATTAACTGTAGCCATGGGGCACAGGTCATACATTTTACAAACACAGCTGCCAGAGGATCATCCTTTTGGGGAGGAGTTTGGGCTGGGCTGACATACCTAACACTACCACGATGAGGAATCCCTATAATCACTAAAGGGGGTATATTTTCTTCCTCTTCTTTTCTCAGAGAGCACATTTAGAGTTTTGGGACAGCTTCTTAGAAAAAGAATTTTGCTGTTCATAAAATTAGGACTTGGGGCTTTTATACTACCTCTCAAGACCCACCTCACCCAATTGTAAGAATGACATTAAATGTTTTATTTTATTTTTATATTATTTTTGAGAGACAGAGGGAGACAGAGTACAAGTAGGGGAGGGGCAGAGAG